CCCCCCCCCCCCCCCGCCACGCACGTGTTTGGGCATGCTCCCTCTACAGTAGTTCGTTTATTTACACGGTTCTCTTCATCCACCTCAAATTTGCGTATCATTTTCCTGCAGGAAAACCTGGCCAGGATTGCTCGGTACGGCGTGGCGGGCGGCGGCGACTCTAGGTTCGGAGGGCAGCTATCCAGCGTGCTCGGGTTGCAGATGCCTAGCGCTGCCGCCGGTACTGCTTCGAAGTACGGAGCTCAGAACATCCGGAGGTGAGAGGGGCGTTCTTGTGGCAATGTATTTTTGGTTAATCGATCGTAATGGGTAGATTCGGTGGGTGGGTGTTGATGGTCAGACACGAAGCGGGCGTCATGAGGGCCGCACGCCACGCAGTTTTGTCTGTTGTGACCCCCCGTGTTTCGTGGCACCGTGGTGACGTGGAGGTTGTTGCTCGCTAGATACTGTTTGCTGCTGCAGTTGCGAGACTGCTGGGCAACTGGTCGATATACCTTGGATGCAGTTCTGCTAGTCACTCGACCTGAGCAGGGGTGTGTGGCGGGTGAGCGTCAGTAAATGAGGATAAGGAGGCTTTTTGCAGCCTAACTTCCACGATATTTCGGAGCTCGTTAGGTGGAGCCACAGATACTGCTGTTGCCGCTGATGTTGAGTGGTCGACGCCCGACACCTTACAGCAAGTGCGCACAGGCGAAGCGAGCTAGCATACCACTGGCGTTCGCTCCAAACCGTATGTACACCAACAACACACATGTACACCAACGACACACAAACCTCTCTCTCTCTCTCTCTCTCTCTCTCATGCTCTCATTTTGTGCACCCCTCCCGCGCGTGACCGTCACCCCCTCCCCCCACACAACATGCCTAACCAACCCATAATAGGTTCTTGGCCCACGTACACGCCATTTCCATCGCCCCCCCCTGGGTAGCGGCCCTGCTGACGGCCATGCGCGTACCGACCAAAAACGCCGTCCAGGTCAAGAAGGTCATCCAGGCGAGTGCGGTGTGGTAGCCTTTGTACGTTTTGTTTCTTTTGGAAAATAGGCATATATACAATCACAGAAAAAAAGACCGCCCGTTCGAGGTATAACCAGTCTTTTATTGAGGACATCGACCGCGATAGCAGGGTTGCCCGTGAGAAAGAACTCCGTGTGATAAGAGCAGAAAATGCTTTTATATGCCATCGTTTTAGGCCCCGTGAGGGGGGGTAGGTGTGTGTGTATGTGTGTCCTTTATTTAGTAGTCCTACAGACCTTGCCCTCCTTCCCGCTCGAAGGTCCCAGTACGGCTCCCCCCCCTGCACCACCCCACCCCCCTAGCCCGCTTCCGCCGCGCATATGAAACTTCGCGACAACCCCTACTTGATTGCTCGCTCAGCCATTGACGGGGGAGTCCGCCAAGTGTGTTGTGTGTGTTTTTTCTGTCTTGTTCTCGTTTGACACGTTTCTTTTCTCTTCCTTTTCTTGCTCGCAGGAAGCGATCGAGGTGAACAAGGGGCTGTCCACCCCGAAGCCTGTCCTGGAGGCCATGGCCAGGTCCATCAGCCCCGACATCTACAAGAGCTTCACGGCTCGATATACCAAGGACATCGCTCTCGAGGTGAGGGGTGCGGGGAGGATTTTAATAGTTTGCAATCAAAGGAAAATTAAAAACTCTCTTGAGAATGATAATCTATTTTTCTTCGGCCCCAGTGCTAGCCCCGATAAGAAAGTTGGTTATGTTTCTATTTGTCCCCAGTGGTAGCCCCGACGCCAGCTTCACGGCTCGATACACCAATGGCATCTGATTAAAAAGCGGCGACGGTACCGCTGCTTTTGTAAAGTCACCGATTGCGCCGATCGCTGGCGGCTTTTGTGACCCTTCCCGATGTTGCTCTGGGGAAGCCGTGCTTCCTGCAGTACGTATGGGCGGCACTTGCCGTTACGGAGGGCCGGGCATCACAACAAGTTCGCATGTATTTGTCGTTGTATGTAGGGAGGAGTGAACCCCCACCCGGCCCAAACACGCCTCCTCTCTCGCTATCTCATCTTCTAGGTTCCCATCGATCACCTCATGGACCACCGGTCCCGTTGACCCCTGTTGCTATTTCATACATACCCCGACCCTACCCCGACCCAAACATGCCCCCCCTCTTAGGCTCTCGTGGATCACCTGATAGACAACCCGTCCGATGTCGTCGGGCTTGAGCTCGGCCCCGGCGACGAGCCCCTCCTACCGGGCACCCTGCTGCCCATGCGCGGGGTCCGGGCCACAGACAATCCACCACCCACCTTCTCCTCCGGGGGGGGGG